AGGAGGGGTCGCTGCTCGCTTGCCCTGCTCACGAACACCTCTGTCCTCATCCCGTGCTGGAAACCGATTCCTGGGCTTAGATGGACCATTGGTCTGAGCCAGCTTCGCGGCTCTTGCGCCCCTGGGAGGCAGTCCCGCTGCTGCGCCTGCCCCTTAGTGCTCCCGAGGTGGGTCCTGAGCTCTGCCTAGCGCCCCGTTCCCCTCAGCGGGGTCCTCGCCACACGTGGCTCGCGGTGCTTGTGGCAACCGCAGCCCCCAGGTAGGCCGAGCCCTGCCTCTGCTCCTCTAGCCTTATTTCTTTTCCAGTTCCAGCAGATTTCCCCAGGAGCGATGAAATACAGGATTTTAGCATACAACTCAAAACTGGAGCCGTATGGCGCTCTTCCAGCCGAGGGGTGGCTCGTACTTAGAAGGGTTTTTACCTCTGGCAAGCCGTGAGCCTGGCCTTTCGGGAGCGATGCTAACCTCTCCCGCTTTGCCGCTGCCGCCTGTTGAGGTTCCTGTGTATCCAAGTCTCAGCTTGATAACCAGTTTATCCTGATAACCCCGGCGGCAGGGACAGAAAGTTCTTGGTTGGGATCCCAATGTGACCGTCAGGTTCCCAGTGGATCTCCAAATTATGTCAGTCCCATCCGAAAGGTGGGGAATAGAAGCTGCTTTAACCACATCAATAAAACTTCCCTCTCTTACCGAGCATCGTTCCGCTCGCTTTGCTTGCCTGCAAACCTTTCGTTACAGCTGGGGAGAGACAGAGGAAACTTTCAGCTCTCTTTGGTGGTTCGCTCCCCTTCTGTGCTTTATTTCAGCCGTTGCAGTTATCGCTGCTCAGAGAGAGAATGTCGAGCGCGACACTGAAATGCCATCGGGCTTCGGAGGCGGTACCGGGGACGCAGCAGCTGGGGACGAAGGTTGGTGGCTTCCCTCTGCGTCTGGTACGAGGCTGCTGGTCACACCAGACTTGTGTTGGCAGCTGCAAATACTCTGGGAATCTTTTGTTACCTGAAAGTTGAGATTTTGGGAAAATGTGACTCCCGGATCATCTTTCAGTACCTTCCTTTGATGTATTTGAATATCTCAAAGCTGCTGACGGCGCGGCTGGCGAGAGCTGAGGCAGAGCAAAGCAAGGGTTGAAAGCAGATCTGAGGAGTAAAAACGCCATCGTAAATTAAAAGCTGGTTGAGAGAAGTCGGCGTAATATGTCGTGATGTCTGTTCCACTGCGCTGTGCGCAACCGTCACTGGGGTGGCATTTAATGACTTGGAGGGAAAAAAAAAGGGTAAGCAGTTCTGTAATGGAGTTGCCACGCGCTGTATATTTAGGCTAAACAAGGCGTGCAAAACAAACCTGGCGCGTGGAAGAGGTGAGGTTCTGTGTCAGGGTGGTGGGAGAACTATCACGCACGGTGTAAGATCTTGAATTCGGTGGGGATTCTTCAACCCCTCCTCCCCAAACGGAGAGGAACGACTATCGGAGAAGCCTTATCAGGCTACGGTTAAGACGGCCAGCTCCCGCGCCCTTGGCGTGGCAGAGGAAGGGAACGCGGGTATAAAATTTCAGGGCCGTGGGTATAAAATTTAGATCCTTGAGCACACGTTCCGTTGCACGTAACCCCATGGATCTATACGCTTTTCTAGGGGCAGACTCCAAGGACCAAGGTCGCATCAGTAGGTTTTGCTCCCCCAAGCTGTCCATCCCTGCTAGGGAGGATGCCGAGAGCTTCGAAGAGGGTATCTGCACGTCCTACCTGCCTGACCTAGCCAACGGGGAATTGCTGAGAAGAGTAAGGCCAGTTAGGTCCCTGGCTCTTGGCTGGAGTACCTACAACTGCCTTTACGTTGCAAGACCTGGCTACAAAACTCCCTCTTGGACTGGCGTTTGGGTTGGGTTTGGTTTGGTTTTTTTTAAATCTATTCCCTCCTTTGCTGTTAGACAGGGACATTTCTGTGTGTCGGTTAGCGTGGTGATCGCCCAGCTCCTGTTGGCAGCTGCTCCTCTGTGCCAGTTTCGCCCCATTCGCACCCAAATTGAGGCAGCCAGCTCCAGGCTGCCGGCTTTGCTGGGCTTTGCTGGGCAGCAAAGTGCCCCAAAGTGGCGTGTTTGCCGCAGCACCTGGCTGCGGATAGAAGCGATTTTAGGGGTTGGTTTTAGTGGAAGACTTGGAGAGTTGACGCTGCAATGTTCCAGCAGCGTGGTGCAAGGCAGAAGGTGCCGCTGAGGTCCTCAGAGGGAAGGAGGTGGGGTACACACATGCTAATGTGACCTATGCCTTAAAAAAAGACACTCGAGGAAAGCTGCGGAGCTAATTTGACCAGGTTTCACCCATGAAGCACCTTTGCGAGGAAGGTGTGTTAGCCAGGAAGAGTTTCTGTGAGCTGGGAGAAGCGGGAGCATCGCAAACTGGCAACGGACGCTAAAGCTAGGCAAATGCAAACGAGAGGCAAGGCAAGGCGCGTGATTTTCATAGGCGGTGAGCCACCTGGGGAATCTACCTTGGTTTGCCTATGAAGGGTAATGGTAGAGGCTCAATCTCTTTTTACCGTGCCGTCAGCGACTAGAGAGACAGCCCCACACAGGCACCTGACTTGAGCTGCAGAAACTTGCACCGTGTGTTTTGCACGGGGGCAGAAAACGCAGCGCGTCTTTCTCGGCCTTAAAATCTGTGGGAGCAAGATAAATACCAGCACGTTTGTGAATAAGCGTCTTATTTTTACGTTGGCTACAGGTACAGTTTCAAGAGCTGCGGTGAGGCGTAGTGAGCAGCTCTGCGTGTCAGCGGGTGAGCTCCAGCGGTGCCGCGGCCGAGCCTGAGCTGATAAAATCAGGGCAGGAGCTGTGGGAGGCTCCGGAGAAGTGCAAGGGGTTTTGGTGAGCCAAGAAGGGAGGATGGAGGAGGAGGAGCTGTTGTGCTGGGGTGAGGTTGAGGCCCAGGGAGGAGCATCGTGGTCCCCTGGGTAGCAGGATTGTCTCTAGGCTCTGAGCTTCCTCAGGAGTAAGTAGAAGAGGTTGGCTCTTTGTCCCAGCCATCTTCTGTGTCAGGAGGAATCCTTGATCCCAGCAAGTATCCAGAGCAAGGGAAGCTAGGAAAAAAAGGCAGCTCCACACTGCCCTGGCCTCTCCAGGAGGCAGGAGGGGTGCTGGTGGGAAGCCATGCTGGCGGTCTGTATCCCGGCCCGCTGCCGTAAGCAGGACCGTCCCGGCACTAGCTCACATCGCCGTGGCTTTGCGTAGCTGAGCCCTGAGAACCACCAAGGATGGAGATGCCACCACCTGCTCCAGCGCTGCCCCGGCCTCCCTGTGAAAAAGCTTTTCCTGATGGATGGCAATGCCTCCCTCCACTGGCGTTTCATTAATCAGCTCCGCTTGTGCGGTTTCCCCAGCAGGACGGAGGTTGACTGGGATCCTTCTTTGTCTGCCTGTCCTTCCCTTTTCCCTGGTAGTATCGTTGCTGGGCATGTGGCTCCCTACCAGCGGCTCCTGCTGTTGCAGCGAGGGTTTTTGGAAGACGGGGATCTCCCGCACGCTTGAGGAAAGCCTTCCCGCCTTCCTCTCCCTTGACAAAAGCACTGCTTGCCATGGCTCAGCCTCTCCGGTCAGAGGCAGAGCAAGGGAACGGCCACTTAGGAGGAGGGAAAACGTTAAAAAGAAGGAGACAAAAGGAGAAGGAAAGCTCACTTCATTTCCCACCCTGTGCCTATACGGGAGGGACTGAAATCTGGTTATGACTTCTAGCGGTGGTGCTGTAAATGCAAACAGGGGCTGCTGCGGGGAGCCCAGCGTCGTGGGCAGGACAGGGGGAGACAGGCAGGTCACAGGACAAAACTGGTGCTGGACACAGCAAGGCAGCAGAGGGGAACAACTTTGGTTTGGTCTGCTCCCAGGCGAAGGCGGCAGAGGAGTAACTGAGGGATGGAGGAGCCCTGTAGGTCTGGAGGAGAAGCAGCAGGGAAAACGCAACAGGCAGGCTCCCAGTCAAGACGAGCGAAGCTGGCCATCCTCAGCGGGTCTGGGAAGTTTCGGGAAGCGGGGACTGAGCTGGACCCCAAGGGATGGGCTGCAGCACATCACCCAGCTGGAGCCTGCCTGCCTCCTGCCACGGAGTTCGACGGAGCGCAGCGCTGGGCATCTCCTTTAACCGCTCGCTCATCCCTCGCTGACGGCTCAGCTGAGATCGCGGAGGCTGGTTTGCGCAAGTGCTGCGCGCCAAGTCCCGGGGGAACGGGCTGCGAGCGCACGGGCAGCGAGGTAACCCAGGCGCCCACCTCCATGAACGTGCCCGCATCGTGCGCAGCCTCCTTCCACCGGATAACGGGGATAAGGGCCCACGCCGGTGCGTTTGGCGGCGGCGCCCTGGGGTTGAGATCGGGGGAGAGGGACTGTAGGAAAAACCTTACAGAAGGCTAAAACAGGGGGTAGGAAACGAGACCCGAGGCCGCTTTGTGAGCAGCGAAGGAGAAAGCCAGTCGCCAGCCAAGCACGGCGCTGGCCGCCTCCGCGCCCCCGCTGGCCTCCGGCTCGCCATTGTCCGGCGGCAGCGCGCCGTGGGCGGCTGCTGATGGAGCAGGGGGGCTAACGGGGGGCAGAGGGGAGGTCGTGCCGGTTTGAAGGGGGGGCGGCACGAAAGGCTAT